AAAGTTGGGCATTTTAACATGGGGAGTCTATGGGATTGACTCCCTTTTGCAGCCAGCCTCTAGCAGCCAGTTGATGAATTACAGTTTAAGTCACTTCCTTGTTGGCTTCACGAGAGAGAGGGGGAGGTTGCCGCTTGGTAAAATCTAGTAGTAAAGAGGACGGAATGATCGCTGTCTAAGATATCGGCATTGGCTGTCAAAAAAAAAAAAACATTATCGGTCGACCACTCATACCATGTACATTTGAATAAATGTCATGAAACCAAGTTAAGTAAAAATATAATATGTAATAATGTGCATAAAATGTTCCTCTCTAGAGTTTTTATTTCTAGCTGATGAATAAATTATGGACAATAAATGGCTTATGTAAACGTATAACTGATTTACTGACATCTTTCCACGGTTGAAACACTGATTAAGCGATTACATGATGATACAGTAAGTTGTTCTATGATTTCAGTAATTTGTTCTATATCTTTCAGCATATCTTCTTATGTTCATTCACGTTTATTTCTTGCTATAACTAGTAAAGAGAAAGAGATGTTTAGCTCATGTGTGCTCTGTGCTGCCGCTTGAACTAAGGCAGATAGAGGTCTGTCTTGCCACATTAAAGAGCATCAAAATTACATTTATTGTTTAAATTTCATAATAAAAGTGACAATTTAAAACATCAGATTTGAGATTATATGATGAAAACCTTATCCTGATTATAAGATGGTAGGCGAGCTACAAATGTTTAGATAAGTTTTGTTCATGTATCACCTAAAAATAGCAAAGTCTAAAGGTAAAAATATAGACTGATTAAAAATGAGAAATCGATATTGGCAACCCAGCACTAGTGTCCACACAACTGACATGTTTACCTGCTGTAGCTTATCCACGAAATAGACGCTGACACAGTCAAAACGCACAATCGAAGAAGCGCTAATTAACCGTCATAATTTTTCTAAAGCAGATGCATCTTACCCATGTAACATGTCTCCAGAGTGGGCAGCCACTGTGGTGATAACCGGAGACTGAGGTCTGGTGGCAGTCACTGGAGCCACTACTGTAGGCAGCACTGCCGTAGAGGTAGTGACTAAAGGCCTAGACTGTAATACAAACAGATATGTATGAAATGCATCAGGATTTGTAAATGAATCTGTGTTCAATAGAACTCCCAAGATGCATTAGCTATATTAACCTGAATCGGTTGGTGGATAATGTGCTGGACTGTAGGCTGCCCCGTGGCGGAGCTCGGACAGGCTGCTGGTCTCAGCACTGTGGTTCCTTTGGAACTTGACATCACAGCCGCAGCAGCTGCTCCTGTGATGACAGAACAAAATCAGTCAGTGCGCCAACATTACAACTGGTTGAAATGGAACTCTGGTTGAAATCTGTAACTCGCCTCTGGGTAAATGGGAGGTGAAGGGATGCTGAGGTGCAGCAGAGGAGCCGATTTGCAGCGCAGGGGGTCCACTGCGGATGATCTGCACGTTGGTCATTAGATGATGCAGGTTACCTGTGTGACCCTTATTGTGCCAAAAACAACAACAATTAAAACCAAACCAATTGTCACAGCAATTGTCACCTACTAATTGGGAAATAAGAAAATCAGTCAGTGCGCCAACATTACAACTGGTTGAAATGAAACTCTGGTTGAAATCTGTAACTCGCCTCTGGGTAAATGGGAGGTGAAGGGATGCTGAGGTGCAGCAGAGGAGCCGATTTGCAGCGCAGGGGGTCCACTGCGGATGATCTGCACGTTGGTCATTAGATGATGCAGGTTACCTGTGTGACCCTTATTGTGCCAAAAACAACAACAATTAAAACCAAACCAATTGTCACAGCAATTGTCACCTACTAATTGGGAAATAAGACCCGCTTTTTTTGTTTAGAATATATAAAATCTCATATTTAAATTTTTTGAAAAATGTGCATTAATGTAAAATACTAGATTAAATATTCTAAGTAAATGTACAAATTTGTATTAAGTTAAATAATTATGAAGGAATAATAATGACATACAGTATCGCGTTTGTTTATTTGGTTGTGTTGTGAGAATTTGCAGCGCATTTCTGTTTTGCAGCGCGTTTGTTTATTTGGTTGTGGTGTGAGTATTTGCAGCATGTTTCTGTTTTTGCAGCGCGTTTCTTTATTTGGTTGTGCTTAGGGGTGTAAATCGGATGGTTCGTCACGATACGATACGATATCGATTCTCATACCCAGCGATACGATATTTGCCAATACCTCAAAAATTCTACGATACGATTCGATTCGATAAAGGAGTATATCGATCGATATTATGATATTATATATCTATTTTAAACAACCATCTACATTTTTATTAACTCACAAATGCAATTAAAATATATAAAATGAACATTTATCTGAAATTTTCACATCCTGTACCTCAATTGGGACATTCACAACAAAAATAATAGGCCTACACATTTTTTTTTTTTAAACAAACAATTGGAAAAACAATTCTGGCTGCTACTATGGGCTCAGTGCTAAAAA